ATTTTATTTCAGTAATACAACGTGTAAAGGAGAAATTTTACAAAAGATAGTGAAAGATTGTATTTTAAAATTGGATATGGAGGCTGGTGCTAAAGTAAAAGCCATTGTAACAGATCAAGGAGCTAATTTTGTTGAACTTGCAAAAAATCTTAATGTAACTATAGATGAACCTTATTTTTTTATTAATGAGAAGAAGATTTACTACTTTTTTGACGTTCCCCATTTATTAAAATCTGTTAGAAATAATTTACTAAAATATAAAATTTGTTTCAACAATGGAAGAGCATCCTGGAAGGATATCCTACAGTTATATGAAGATGACAAAAACAAAACACTACGATTGGTACCTAGACTGACGAATGCTCATGTAAATCCAAATGGTTTTGAAAAAATGCGTGTGAAATATGCAGTGCAGGTTTTAAGTGAATCTGTGGCAGTTGGTTTATCAACTTATGTGTCCTTAGGTGCGATGTCTCCAGAAGCTGCTGGTACTGCCCATTTCTTGGAATATTTTGACAAATTATTTGATATGTTCAACTCCCTACGAACAAAAGGTGTAAAGAAACATAATTTATCATTTATGGGTGCTGATTACCAAATTAAATTTCTGGATGAAATGATAGATTTTATTAAATCAATAAAAATTTTTGATGATTCAAATAGAAATGTTGGCAATAAAATTAAATGTTTTAATGGATGGTGCATGTCCATAAATGCTCTCAAATTTTTATGGTTGGATCTAAAGAGTCAGGGATGTTCTTTCCTTCTAACAAGACGTCTCAATCAGGACTGTCTTGAGAATTTTTTTGGTTCAGTAAGAAGTCAGGGAGGTAACAGCACCAACCCAACTCCACAAAATTTTATAAATACATTTAAAAAATTATTTTCGCTAACTTATTTAGAACATAGCGAGAGTGCTAACTGTGCTGAAGATTTTGATGCAATTTTAACAAAAATTAATACAAGGGTTGTTACAGAAGCATTCCAAGACGAAGATCCAAATCAAGAGGAACCACTTAAATTTAACTTTACTGATTACCAAGAACTCGATTTAGTGACAGAAAATGCTTTGTCTTATGTATGTGGGTATTTATTCCGAAAATGTCTAGACATTCATGACTGTGAGATGTGCAGAATAGCATCTAGATGTGATACATTGAAATCTTCTAATATTTTTTAACACTTGAAGGCATATGAAACAAAAAATAAAGATACCTTTGGAAATTTAAAAATGCCTGTTGAAAGCTTCATAGATTTTGTAAGGGAAATGGACAATATATTTACAAAAAATTTTGAAAAACTATCAACTCTGCCCCATATCGGCAAGCAACTTCTTATGTTGTTTAATCAAATTTCATTTCAGCCTCCCTGTGCAGATTATCCCAGACTATATGTTTCAAAATTATTTTGTAGGATGAAAATATTTCATACTCTTAAACATGCCAATAGTCAGATAAAAAATACGCCAAAAAAAAATAGAAAACTGATCAATATATTAAGTTTATAAAATTTGTATAAGTATAAAAATACACTGTTAGCATAGCTGCAATACATTTAAATTGACTTATAAACAAGACTTTTTGTTTGCTTTATTTTAAAGTCCATATGACACAATCACATTTTTTAACAAATTATTTTAAATAATGTGCAAGCATAATTTTTTAATATTTTTTTGACATATTAATATAGAACGTGCTCTAAATTTTCATCAGAAGTGCAGATAGAAATTTTATAAAGAAAATGTAGTAGAATTGTTAAAAAAAATGTGATTGTCATATAGGTTTTAGGCACATTTATTTATCTAAGCACCCACTATTATGCTACTGTAGCTTTTATTTGATAAAAATTCAGTCCATAAATAAAATTTATATTCACTTATTTAATGCCTGTTTTATTTATAAAACCCTTATGATACTTATTTTTAAACTTATTTATTTTTTCATTCAATAATACAATACATAACAGTTCCATAATGGTTCAAAATAGTCCCACAGGTATGTTTTCAACAAATTTTCATTTCATTTCTCTTAAAAGTGAAGTGATCGACTATATTAGATTCAATTCTTACAAATATGTCGCCGCCTCTGACAGAATTAGGGGCTCGGATTATTTTAACGTTTAACCGCATCTACGCCTTTCCCTGGTAGTCATGCGCACTCGTAATGAAAACTGATTTGGAGGTCACGAAATTTGTAATCAAGAAAACAATGGAAATTTCGCCCAGTGTCGCTTCTTGTTCGTAATATACGTTAATATTCTTTGGTTGTAGTACTAACGTTAGTACTATATTTTCTATGAGCTATGAGTCTATTTGTCTGTATTGTCTCCGCAGTCTCCGTCTCCCTCATTTGTATTGTGCAATTTCCGTGCCGTATAGTTCTTATATTATTTACTTCTATTTGACACAATATTGTTAATTATTTTAAAAACTGTACAGTCTGTAATATGGCTACAGAAGGCACAGAAGCTGGATTTGTCCAAGGGCAATCTGATAATTTGCCAAAAATTGATGTTGTATCAATGTTTGCATTTTTGGGAAACAACCCAAATTTCATGGGTGCTGAGTTAAAAGGAGTGAAAGCTGTGAGATATGTATAATAGGTATTTAATATAAACATTATTTACATCTGTTAATACCTTTGCTGGATTTTATGTAGTAATTTCTTATAAAAGATAATATAAATAAAAACATAACCTTAAAATGTGACGTACTGAAATAATATGTAAATATTCCCATTAAAATAATTATATTTATTTATTATATTCTTTTAGATATGCTCGTGAAAATTATGGAGACAATGCTGTTGGCTGGGTGCAAGTGAAACGAGATGGTGATGTTTGCATTGTAAAGGCTAGAGTTACTCCAGAGCAGTGTTCGGAATGCTATTGGAAAAACTCTGCACTTTCTAATATTGACACAAATTTGAAACTAGTGAAAGTTGAAGATTTGGGTGAAACGAATCCATTGAAAACTACAAACGATACCAATTTTTTACAGTCATTTGTGAACCATAGTTTAGATTTGGGAATCACAGATACTGTGCTGATGAAATATTTCAAGGAAGAGAGCGACTTTGAAAGATTGTCCCTACACAGATTGTTAGAAGAATATTTGGTGGAATTGGAGGACATAACAGCAGATGGTTTTTCTACATTTTGTACAGGAAAAATGACTGAAGATATTTGCAGATGTTGCCAAGGCAACTGTAGATCAAATGGCGAATGCTTTATGGCATGAGTTACGTTACTTAAGAATTACTGTTTCAAAGGCTTATGATGTAGCCCATTGCAAAACTACAGGCGGATCATTGGTTGAGTCAGTTTTGGGGGCATCAAAATTAAAGGACGCTGCTGCCATGACTAGGGGAAGACAACCTGAAGCACAAGTTTTAAGATTAGTGGTGAAACAAACTGAACAGAAAATTCAACGCTGTGGATTAGTGCTTGTACCCGAGAATCCATTTATTGGAGCATCGCCTGATGGAGTATGCGAAAATTTTTTGGTTGAAGTTAAATGTCCGACTTCTTCAAAGGCGTACAAGAGATATGTAACGTCAAGTCTTGATATTATAGCAAAGTACATGGCACAGGTTCAACACTACAAATGTTTTGTTTAAAGAAAAAGGAACATTTGTTTGTTGTTGCTAAAGATTTTGAATATTCAAAGCAAATTACGATTATTAATGTTGACTTTAATAAACTTTATGTTTTAGATTTATTAGAAAAATGTAATAATTTTTGGAAAAATAATATTTTTGATATTGTTAAAAATAATTTCAATTAAAAATAAAATTACAATAATTGTTTGTCTTTCGGTATTTTATTGCAGTGTAATATAGTTATCAATGCACATGACATTTGAGTTGAACTTGAAGAACTAGTTTGACTTAAATTATAGTCACTTTCTCTGTCTGTTTGAACTTGCAGAAGAAACTGTATTCTCTATAAAAGATAGTGATTTCACTATATTGTAGGGTTTAAAAGAGACGTTCCAACTGACACAACTGGTACTTTTATTGGTGATAAACCAATTGAAGTACATATTTGCTGCACGTTAGTTGCCTTGTTTTGAAATTTTGGTCGCAGGTTCACTTGTATGGCCTTGTCCACGGTCAGAGTCGCCGATTCAACAATATCCGCTGAAACTTGTCCCATAGTGGGTTCTTCACCAAAAGCTTCCTCCATTTTATCGCCATTATTTTTAGCAGACGCAGATGGTGTGGTGGCTTCGATTTCTGCTTCCATTATAAGTTCAAGACGTCTTCTTTTTTCAGGAAGATGTCTTTCTTTAGGTTCCTCTTTTGTTTTTTGGCACATAAATATATGTGGAATCACCCCTGCCTTCAATCTCAAATTTTTTACTTTCCTGCCCATTAATTGATACTGCATAAAATTTTCCATATCTTGTATCAACTGAAATAAAATATAAAAATAATAATAAAACATGTAGTGTCACCAATGCTTACGGTAGAATAATAAATAAACTTTATAAATATAGGGATGTACGATGAGTAAAATTATTAAAAAAATAAAATATTCCATATTTAAGACTTTATAAAATACTTACGTTAAAATGATCCTCACAGATGTGCAAAGTAGATTTAACACTAACTGGACTTTTCTTCAGGTCTCTTTTTATAGCTAAACACCATTTCTTCCTCATTTTCTCATCCTTCGGCACATTAAAAAATAATTTGTTGGGGGCAGTTACAGTTGTGGAACCACACATGGGTACTATACAGCACTTATAATATTTATGTTCAGGCACTCTTATGTCTTTTACGTTCTTGTGCTGTAATTCTGAAGCCATCATGCACTCTATGAAAATTAACGAAACTTGTCTTTAAATTTATGCACTAAAATTAAACTGTTAACTAAACTACTCAAAACTACCTCAGAATTCGATGCGAACACAACGTTAAATGACACTAATGACAGCAATTAACAATGTAATGACTAATGACAGCGCCAGCGACCCACGTTTTGACAGTCATATACCGTATCCTGACGTCACAAATTGTTTCACCAATTACAGATCGTTTTCGCCCACCTAATTATATTCCATATTTCAATAATTAATTACATATCAATTATTCAGTTTAAAGATGTTTTACATAATAGAAACATACTTTTATAGTAATTTTCTGCACTTTAAATAAATTTTGCATCAAAAGAAAATTTGATGCAACTTCTTTCTTATTTGTTTTCATTTTTCGTTTATCTGTTAAAACAAAAACTTCATACTTTATCACATGGAGACTATATATATATATATATACATATACATATATACTATCTACTCTCCATGCTTTATCAGTTCAACTTTTTTACCTGTTTTACTATAAACGAGTCTTGTCTTGTCAAGACAATATCCCGTTAAATCATTATAAAGTCGATTGAATTCCAATTCGTGAAAATGCTGAAAAAGTGGAAATAATCAGTTTGTTCTACAAGAATAATGACTGTCTCACTACAGGGATCTCGGAAACGGTAAGAGGTACGAATTAGCTTAAATGGGGGCAAAGTTGCGTAATCACTAATCAGGGGACCAACATTATGCCTCTAAAAAATCAAGGTTAATATGATTAGTTTTCGAAATATTTGAAAAAAACTTAAATTTTGGAAATCCGTTTTTGTTTCATTTAAGCCTTGTTTGAGGTGATATTGAAAAAAGAACAACACTTTCTCCGGGCCACTTTTTGCCCTCTATCAAATGGCATAATCAATTTTTATATGTAATGTTTCGTCTCTCCAGG